TCGATATTGCTGAGCATGGAGCGCCCCTGAAGGAAGCCGCGCTGCGAACTCGCGATGCGTGGTTCCAGCGCCGGCTCCGCCAAGAACCGGATGGCGCTCGCCATGAGGCGGTTGTCCGGGTTGGTGATGGAGAACGGCCGCGCCCCTCCAGGATCGAAGAGTGGCCCCCCCTCCTCCGTGGCGCCTCCGGCTTTCTTGGGTAAGAATAAGGAGGCTTGCGTCGAGGTTGGGGAGGTCCGCCTCCTGCAGGGCCTGCGCCTCCGGGGGGCAGAGAGCGCCTGCGGCGTCGAAGAGGGTGTCCACCGCGAGGTCTTCCAGAGCGCGCTATTCGGCATGCGGGATGCCGTCGAGCAACGGATGGCGCGGAGATGTTCGAACAACGGATGGCGCGCCGCGCGTGGCCCCGCGCGGGCCGCAGGTCGGCCGAGCCAGCGCGAGCGGGCCCATGCGCCTCGCCATGTACGGGATCCTCCGCGAGCCATTTCCGCAACGAGTCGCTGTTCGCGCCGTTTCCCTTGAAGACGTCGCCCCGGGGCCAGCCAGCCCCCTGGCCACGTCCGCAGGCTCTGTGAGATGATCCCCAGACGCAGCCTGGACAGCGCGGGCGCCTGCGGGCTGTCCAAGAAGAACACGAGAGAGCAGGCGGCGCGCGCGCTGCCTCCCGCGACCGGCGAGCGCACTGCCCCCGGCCTGGAGCTCCCGACGGGCGCGCCCCAGCTCGTCCAGACCGTGCTCCCTCGCCAACTCTACCGCCAGGTCCCTTACGGGCTGGAGGCCGCGCGCGGCGCGGTACTTGACGTCGCGCGGATTCGGCAGCAGCGAACTAAGGCGCGGGCATCGCTCCAGGCGCTGGGGAATGCAGCCCATCGCCCCAGCATCCGCCGCTCTCGAGAATCTCACGGCCACCCCCAGGCGGTCCTCGAGGTCAACCGCCTCCGGCGTGCGCACAGAGGGAGGCAAGCCGCGAGTGGCTATACGAGCCTCAGTGAGTCCTTCAGCATTAGCAGGCGTCGCAAGCTGGAGGCGCCCGGGAACTGCGCCAGCTTCTGGCGGTAGTCCAGCCGGACCTGCCGCGCGAAGCCGGGGTGGCGCACCTGCGCGTCAGTGAGAGGGCGGGCATCCGTCGGGCGTGCCCGCGGCAATCGGCGCGAGACATGCACCGCCCTCTGGTCGGACACCTGAGGCTTCCGCTCCAATGCAATCGTCTGGATGTCGCGGTCCAGCTGCTCGACCACGTGCTGGTTGCAGTAGATGCGATCTAGTCTGGAACGCGAGCGCGTGGATGCAGACGTCATCTCCGCCTCGTGCATCTCCTGCAGCCCGAGTCGCCGCCCCAACGCTGCCTGGAAATGACGCTCCTCGCGGGCGTCTCTACTGCCGCTGGCCTCTCCCCCGCTGCAGGTGCGCCTGTCCGCGGCTCCCGTGACCCAGTTGAAGTCGCCGCCGAGGACGTTCAACGCCTGGCCGACGTTGGCAACATGCCGGGCCAGCCGGTCCCGAAGCAGCGCTCGGAGGGCAGGGGGGGCGCAGGGCTCGGCGTTGGCAACGCGGCGGGGTCACGAAGTGCTGTGTTGGGTGCGCTGAAATGGTGGACATGCGGAGGGCAGGGGCACGGGTGAAGGAGGGGTCGGACAATTGGAAAAAAAGGAGGGAGGAGGAACGCGAGCCGCTGGTTGGGGAATCTCCACAGGATGCTCGGGGTAAACGACGACATTGTTCTGCCATGTTTTAGAATACTCGTGGGTTATCGTCGCAACAATGACTCCTGCATGTGGCCGCGCGCGACAGAAGGGTCCGACGGGGCCGAAAGAGAACGAGGGACGGGCCCCAGGAACCACAGACAACGCGAGCGGAGGGGCCCGACCGAAGAAAAGGGGCACCCAAACCTCGAGAGCCACGAACACCTCAAACCTCCGCGCCGTGAAAAAAACACGCAGGCTGAACGCAGACCAATTTTCAGCTGAAGGTGGAACTCGCCCGCTCTGTAAAATCGGGGGCATTGCACCACCGCCCCTCATCTCCCCACCCCGCCCCCCCTCCCAACCAGAGCAGAGTAGCTGCAGACAGGGGGGGGGGGGGAAGAAGAGGAATTGCCGCATTCGCAGGAGTGCACGCGCGGGGCTCAGGTAGCACGTGTTCCACGGAGCGACCAGGCCCATCACGCAGTTCGGGTGGGCGAAACAAGTCCGAAGCGACCTTGAAGGGAGTGGCACTGAGGCGTGCGAGCCACGCCTGTGCCACTGTCTGGCGCGCTCTCCACAAGGTCGCACGAGGGATCTCGGAACCAGCGCAATCTGTGCGACAAAGGCCACGGGCACAGTCATACATTTTACGAGCATGCTCGCAAACTTCACCTTTAGGAGACCCGGCCGAACCAGCTGCAGAAGGAAGACCAGGACCATCATCAGCATGATATGGCACAAGATGAGCTGCAACTTCAGGAAGAATTCGAAGATCGCAATCTTCCCCAACGACTAGGCGCAACATCACAAGGATGACGACGTTCAGGAGAAGATGCAAGTTCAGACTCACATCGCAGATCATATCCATCGCCGACAAAGCGGGAACTATGCCGATCTCCATGGACAGTACCAGGCCAGGTGCAGGAACATCGTCAGGTCCTTTACCGGCCGCGAGAGGAACTCCACACTGATGTAAATCGAAGCGAATTCCATTCGTCGTACCAACTGCACACTCGGCGCGGAACTCACTCAGAACACAGGCGGGCCTTTGTGCCGTACGATGCCGGATGAGGTGGTACGCGACGTCGATCCGCTCCGCGGACTTGACGAGGCGGCGATCCAAGACGCCCGCGGCCCGCGCAGCACGGGCAGCCACGGTGAGGCCTTCGACGACGCAGCCCAAGCGCAGCTCGAGCGTGTCCCGGAGGCAAGCCAGCATATGAGCCTAGCCAAAGTCGAAGGTGTCTTCCACGGCAGCGGGACAGGGACGAGAGACAGACAATACTTTACAGGCGCGCCGCGGACCCAGCGTTGGCAAACCAGCAGCCTTGAGCCAAAACTGGCAACGGGGACAAAAAAACGGCGGCTCAACACCACGGAATGGTTGGGGAATATCCAATGAGGGTCAGAAGCCAACGGGGGCCCTCCTCCCCCCCCCCTTTCCCAACCCCGCCCATGGGGTCCTGAACCTCCCCCCCCCACTCGGGAAAATAAGGAGAATGTCAGGACGCCCCGCCCTCCCCCCCCCCCGGGGAAAATGAATGAGGTCCAGGACCTCCCCATCTGGGAAAATTATTGGGGAAGTCCAGACACCCCTCCCCCCCCAGGGCAACGACGACGATGACGTCGACGACGACGACGACAACGACATCGACGACGTCGACGACGACGACGACGAAGACGTCACCAGCGGCGGCGGCGCACCTGTCGCCAACGCCCACGCCCGGCGCTGGCCCTGATAGAATGCTACTAGGGCTCGATCCAGCTCTCGCAGTATCCTGCAAGGGCCCTACTGCATTCTACCCTACTGTCTCCTGCTCTACTCTACGTTACTTTACTCTTCTCTACCCTGCCCCACTCTACTCTGCCCCACTCTACTCTACCTTACCGCACCCGTAACATACGATGGTCTACCCCAAGTCGGTTATACTATGATATGCTCTTCTATACCCTGCTCTACTCTACTCTTTCCCTACCCGAATCTACTCTACTCACCTCTTCTCCCCCCTACTCTACTCAACTCCGCCCTACTCTGCTCTAACCTACTGTACCCTGCCGTATCCGATTATACTCTATTATAATATACTGAAATCCTGATCTACTGTGCTCTGCCCCGCTCGTGCTCTATTCGAGCGAGCTCTGCTCTACTCCACACTAGTGATGCTCTAATGTAACCATAAAGTCATCTCTACTCAACGCGGTTTACCGTACTCTACTCTACCTTACCCTGGTCACCCCTACCGTACCCAAGTATATTCTACTCTATTCCACTCGGCTTAGCGTCTACTCTACTCGACCACTCTTATCCACCCTGCTCTACACTACTTTCCTCCCCTCTACTCTGCTCTACTCCACCCTGTCATACTCACTCCTGCTTTATCCTACCGTGTCCTAAAGTACTCTTCTCTACTCTACTCTCTACTCTGCTCGATTCTACTCTACTCTACTCCACCACTCTGTACTCTCTGCTCTCTGCTCTCTGCTGTCTGCTCTACTCTACTCTACTCTACTCTACTCTACTCTACTCTACTCTACTCTGTTCTACTCTACTCTGTTATACTCTTACTCTATCCTCAACAGCTCTGCTCTAGTCTTCTCTAGATCTGCCCTACTATACCTATATACTCTTCACCACTCGACTCAAATCGACTCAAATTTACTCTACATCGCTCTACTCTACCATACTCTCCCCTACTCCACTCTACGCTGCCGTACCGCACCCTACCCTACTCGACTCTACTTTACACTCTCACTACATCTGTTCTGCTCTATTCTACGCCTACTGTGCTGTGCGTCGTCGTCGTTGGCGCCGTCGTCGTGCGTCGTGCGTCGTGCGTGGTGCGTGGTCGTCGCCGTCGCCGTCGTCGTCGTCTTCGTCGCCGTTGCCTTCGTCGTCGGCGCCGTCGCCGTCGTCGTCGTTTCTGGTGGGGTGGGGGTCTGAACCCCCCCACAGCAACTTTCCATGGGGGGCCTGACCCCCCCAACAACTTTCCCGAGGGGCGTGGGGGGTCCGGACACCCCCTTGGAATTCGGGGGTGGTGGGGGGGGTTGAAACCCCCCCTGCCAGCAGCGGCAGCAAGCGCTCTTTCGAACATTATCTGGTGGGCCCACAGGCAAGTCCGGACGCCTCGTCACAGCTTGAGAGGACGCAGGCCTCTTCAGACGACGGCGGGCCTTCTCAGAAGCCCTCGCGCCTTCTGAGGAGTCGACCGTATATTCGGAGAAGGCCCAGAAACCTTCTCAGAAGGCCAGAGGCCTTCCGTGCCTTCTGAGAAGGCCAGGCTCCTCTGACCTCCCCCCCCTGGACTCGCCGCCGACCTTCACGACTCCCCTCACGCACGGCCAGGACATCGCCCAAATAGCGCCCCAGAGCGCCCGAAGGACTTGAGCACAAAACCGCCTGGAGCAATGATGGCTGCGGCAAGGAGGAGCGATTCCCAATCGCTTTCGTCCCACTCTGAGGGGGATAGTTGCGGGACAGACTGGCTGAGGGAGGGACACATCGACCTTGGATCGGATATACTTCGCCGGCAGATCGGCGAGAAGCTAAGCTCCCGAGTGCGACTCCGAACGTTTCTGGGCAAGAAAGATCATCTGGCCCCTTATCCGCTTTCGTCCGACTCTGGGGACACCAAGATGTACCGATGTCGCTACTGCCCCGACTTTTCCCAGAATGCGTTCTGACCATAATTTCGAAGCGAAACAAGCCGTGGCGACGAGGGCCCCCTAGGAGGCTCCGAAGAAGCGCAAACGAGGAAGATAGCGACATCGGTACCTTTTCTCTGAGACCAATTCCCTCCCGCCCGAGACTCACTACACGGTGTGGTCACCGCACCGTTTGAGAACCCCCGAGCGTGGCTCAACTCACACGTGGAACATCTGGAGGCCATGCGCGTATTCACCTGACCATAGAATTGCCGAGCCCGGGAAGACCACCTGTCTACATGTGTATCCAGCTCTCGCCCAGGCCGGCTGCGTCGTGTGCATTCAAGTTACTGGCAGTGAGACGGGAGGAAGACGACGAGGGGGTCGATCGAGGAGGGGGTGGAGGAAAAGAAAGATCGAGAGAGATTGCCTTCATCCAAAAGCAGTCCCACTCCGGCACCCTGACGTTGTGCATAGAGAAGACGAAAAAGGATGAATTCGCCCGCTCGAAGCAACAATCGGACTCGTCAGGAGATGGCCGGCCCAAAGGAAGCAAACTCGAACTGGAATCGGCGATACATCGCCGTGACCTCCCCCCATACTGCAAATCCGGACGCTCCTGGGGGGGCGGGGCTGTCGGCCGCGATCGGCGATGCACGGGCGACTTGGAGTCGATGCGACACACACTGGGCCCATCCCCCCCTGCACGCCCGTCTGCAGAAGCGGGTGGAAATATGAAGTAGGAGGGCGTTGGAAATAGATTGGGCTTACGCCCGCTACTTTTAAGTCGGGCCTGTCCCCCATACAAGAGGATTTTCGACGAAGAATTTAAAGAATACCCTAGAAATGATCCAAAATTAATACAAAAATAGTCTGGGGATTAATTTTTGAGTATTGTTTTGCCTTTTTGGAATATTTGTTGGGGTATTTCTTACTGTTCGTCGAGCATCCCCCTGTATGGGGGACACGCCCGACATAACGCTACTTTCAACGACCAGCGTATAACGTTGCCCGGAAGGAAGGCAAATCAAGCACTGCTCGCAATTTTACGCCGCCTCCCCCCTTGTTCCCTCACGGCCAGCCGTGCCACGCCGTCCCCCCCGCACGAAGTCGGTCGGGAACTTGTTTGAGAGCTTCGCGGTGGCGGCCCTGGCGACACATGAAGACAAAGCCAGTCGGGCGTTGGCAGAACTGGGTTTATTGGAACCTGGTTTAGTGATTTGTACCGGGGGCGCCCCCCCGCCCCATTTCCACTAACCGGAACTGTCGTCGCCCGAAAAACACCAGTGACGGCAAACCTGGTTTAGTGAATCTGGCCAATTGAGGGGCCCCAGGGCCCCACCACTAACTGGGTCCCCTTACCCGGGGTCCTGGCCATACCCGAGCCAGCACGAGGACAACATCGGGGGAGGAACAATCGAGAATCTCTCAGATTTGGCGGCTCTCGGAGAGATCGCGGGTGGCGAAGCCTTCTCAGAGAGTTCTGGAGCGCTTTGAGGGCGTTCCGGAACGCTCTGGTTGGAACGGATGTATCCTCGTTTTTGCCTCATCTGCCACATGCCTTGCGAGCGGATAGCGCGTCGCTCCGCTCCAAGCGGCACGTCGCGCCGAGGCGGGGTTGGCCAGCACCGGCGGAGCGACACAATACGCAAACTTTCCCGACCGTAGAAACTGCTAGAGTACTCCGACGGGCACTCAGGCGGAAGGGTCGCGCACCGAATTCGGGCACAGGCTGCAATGGATTTCGGATCCGTGGATCTGGCGAAGTGGACACCAGATCCATTGGATCGGGGGGACAGTACGCCCTGAAACATGAGGCCAATGCCGCCAGATGTATCGACGGAGCGCGCCGATTTCGTATACTGAAGCGGGACCCGTCGTGAATCCACGCGGCTCGATTCATGCTCAGCGCGTTTCGTCGAGGGACGCAAGTGGCAAGTTCTCAGCGGCCCCCACTCTCATCCCGAGCCCCCCTGGTAAACTACAGAACCACCCTGCAAAAAGGTCCCGGGAAGCCTCTTCAGGTTCGGTGTCACGAGCCGCGTGCCCCGCGAAGAGCTTCATGACACAGGGCCTCCATCCCTCTGCGGGAGGGAGCAGCGCGTCTCACTGCTCCCTCTCGTGCTAGTACCACCATCACACAGATATTGATCAGACTGCACGGTATGCACAGCTGCACAGCCAGATGCAGCCGCCACTGGGCTCACGTTCGTGTGGCCTTCTGCCTGCTGCTTGCGCCGCGCACGTCGGTCCGAATGCCACACTCGCACGCGTGACGCGCTCGATTCCAGGGCTGCAGCGACCCTGCACATGCGCCAGGCGCTCCCTCCTCAACGCGCTGCAAACATCGCGATACCATCAAGACGCGCCCAATAAGGAACGGAAGGCATAACCGAAAAGGGGCGATAAGAACCCCCCTGGGATAATAAAGTTCGCGGTCCCCGCGGGGGCGATAAAAGAGGATTTTCCCGGGGAAGGTAAGTTACGCTGATGATGATGATGGTGACGAATATGGAGGAGGAGGAGGAGGAGGAAGAGCAGGTTGAGCCAGGCGCACGACAAAAGCCTGACTCGAGCGATCTCGAGGCTCGCGGCTACTTGCCCGCAGAGGCGCACTACGCAGATATTACTCGAGAGATCTCGAGGCTCGTGGCTACTTGCCCGCAGAGGCGCAGGACACAAGGCTGACTCGAGCGATCTCGAGGCTCGTGGCTGGGCGCCTAGATTTTGCCAGCGCAAGAAAGGTTCTTGGCCGATCTGGCCAAGAAACCCCTGTTGCGCTGGACTTCGAACCGCTCTCCCATGCAAACACGGCATCCTTTGGAGCCGTCCTTGCATGGGAGATACGTGGTGCAACGTTGGGCGGCGGCGCTAGCTTCCTCGGAGCTGCCGTGCTTCGGCTCGGCCGCCGTGGGGCCCTGGCAAGGCTTGTACTTGTGCTTGGCCTTGGCCTTGGCCTTGGCCATCGCAGCGTCGTTGTCGCTCGCCTCCTTGAGTCAATTGATGAACTCGCCCCCTCGAGCGACCACGGCGTGGAGAGATGCTGGCATTGGGCGGCCCTCGCCGCGGATCTCGCGCAGGGCGCGCTCGATCCAGCGGCTTTCCCAGAGGCCGCAGCTCCAACCGTCAACTTGGCATCGTCTGTTGTTCGGTGCTGGGCAATGCTCGCCAGGGCCAATGGCGCCGAGCTTGCGGGGGATCCTCGCGCTGGCCTTGGGAGGCCACGCGCGAACCCTACCTGCGATTTCTGGGGAGGGGGAGGAGGGGGAGGAGGAGGAGGAGGAGGGCGAGGTGCACTTCGCTCGGCAGCTCCCGAACAAAGTGAAAACCCACCTTCCCCCCATCAAAACTCGCGGGGTGCAGGCGCGAGTTCGCATGTGGCTCTATTGGGCCTGCTCGGCGTTCTCGGGCGGGCGTCGCGGTAGTCCACCTCGACGCCGCCCCCGTCGATCCTCGAGACCTGGCGGGAATTGCCGCAGGCGCCCCCTGCTCAGGGCGCTCCCAGGATTCGCCCCAAACCGGAGCGAAACGCTGGAGGCACCCATGGGGCGGAAGGGGGCATTGCAGCAGCCGCCGCCCTCGAAGTACGTGTAGTGCGCGGGCGCCTCGGAATGCGCGCAGACCAGCACGTGATGGGCCTTGTTGACCCTCTCGGCCCAGCGTCTCTGCTCCTCGGGCTGCTGGGCGGCGGGTGCGTCCTCGCCCTGGCCCTCTCGAGCCCAGGCGACGGCCTCCGTGGGCTCGACCGCAAGCACGTTGTCGGGGGCGCCCACTCGCTCCTCGATCTCGCCCAGCAGCGCGTGCTCCGTGCCCAGCTCGAGGGCGTCGCCCTTGACGATCTGCTCGCAGTTCATGATCGCGTACTCCTTGGCGAGCGCGGCGCGGCGAGCGTGTCTTGTCTGGCGCCAGTCGAGCTTCTGCGGCTTGGGGGACTTGTAGTCCTGCTCGATCGTGACCTGTGGCGCTCGGGATTCGCAGGCGCTCGTTAGCTTCCGCCTGCTTCCGCTTCCGCCTGCTTCCGCCTGCTTCCGCGCTTCGCGTTGCTTCCGCCTGCTTCCGCTGCCCTTCCTTGTCCTGTTTGCAAGCGTCCGCCTGCTTCCGCCGCCCCAGGCAGAAGCAGGCGGGAGCTAACTGCCTGTGAAACTCGAAGCCTCGCTGGCGCTGATCTGGAAGATCGCCGCGGTCTCCACCTCGAGGACGCGCAGGCGGCACTCGTTCTCGGTGCCCAGGACTCGCCAGACGCCCTGCACTCTGCCGCGCCTGCCCTCGCGGTTGCCCCCCTCGGTGACGCGCGCCGCCGGGGGGGGGGGGGGCTCGCAAGCCTCGAGACAGCCTTTCTGCTTTGCCTTGTCCTTCTTCTTGCTGCCCCTCTCCGCTTGCTTCTCCTGATTGAACTTCATGGAGAAGCTCGCGCGCGCCTTCGGCGGCCTGCCTGTGAGCTTCGCCTTGGCCGCGCCTCTGCCGAGGTGCTCGAGCGAGGTCTCGCCGCCACTTGGCACTCTCGCGCTGCCACTTGCGAGCGTGCTTTGCCCAGGAACTGGCCCGCGAATGTGCATGCCCATGTGTTCTTGCGTTTAATTGCCCGTGCCAGCTTGACTGATATGTTCTCGAGGGCGCGCGGGCGCATGATGTCCTTGATCCGCTGTCTGGCGGTCTGAGCATGTCCTATTGCTCGTCGGCGAGCTCGAAGTCCAGCTCTCGGAGCTCCAGGAGGCAGGGGTTGTCGCCCTCCTCGCAGTCCCTCGGCAAGTCGTCGTCGTGGAAACAGTTGCCATCGAGGACGCTCCACTCGAGAACTGGCGGCGCGCCCTCGGGTCAGCTCTGGATGCCCTCGAGGTGCTCTTGCGCCAGGCTGTTCTCGATGCCGCGGCCGGCCTCGGTGAGTAGCTCCACGTCTCCATGCCCGTGGCGACCTTGAGCTCGCCTTGCTCTGTCGGCCGGACCGCGAGCATCTGGTTGGCACGCAGCCCTTGGAGCGGCACCGCGCCCTTGTTCTGCTCGCGGAAGCGGGTGTAGGCCTCGGAGACGCAGTAGAGGCACTCGTAGGGCCCCCATTATGCCCGGGACTTTTGCTCCTTCTGGGGCTCGGCCTTGGTCTTCTGGAGCCAGTCTTGCTCCATGGCCCAGTGCATCTCGGCCTTGACCACTCGGATATTGGCCTTGAGCTGGCTGTGCTCGCGGGTGTCGGGCTCTTGCAGGAAGCTCGTGACGTCGTGGGCCAAGGGCGAGTAGGTGATATTCTTGAGCCACGCCCACAGCCTCACTGATTCGGTCCACTGGCTCAAGAGGCAGTCTGCGAACACGAGGATCTGGCCGTGCTCCTGCTCGATGAATTCGATGGTCCAGCTTGCCGCCAGCTCGTGCGTCCAAGCTCTCGGCTGCCCCCGCGCGTCGATGGCCCCGAAGGTCCTCGCGCGTTCCGCCGCGGAGAACTCGAGCAGAGCGTTGCGCCAGCCTTTGAGCAGTGCTCCTAGGGGCTCGCCTGCTCGGGAGCGCTCCGTCTCGCCATCGCTTCGCTCGTAGGTGGCGTCTCGCCGCCAGGTGCCCTCCTCGAGGTTCGCGTCGCTGGCTCGGCAGTGCCTTGCGCAGGGGACACGGAGCGCGCTGCGCTTCTTGGCGGACCGCGGTTCCCTGCTCGGGTCGAACCAGTTCTCGACCGTGGAGACGCTGATCAGGGTGATCCTGTGCTTGTCTCCTGCGCTCGAGTATAGGCCTGCTCCACTTGCTCCTCGTGGTCGGGGTGGCCTGCCAAGGACGCGGCCTTCTCCGCATCGAAGGCTGCCTTGCCCTGCTCGCTGAGCGTCTCGCGGAACTTCTCGCGGAGGTTCGAGATGCGTGTCTAGGCGCCCGCGGCGTGCACCTATTGGGCGCTCAAAATGCGCGCAGGAAGAATTGGTACAATGCCCCGCAGCTGTTGTGAAGAACCAGCAGCGGCCGCTGTTGGGCAGGCGGCCTTCTGTTTCGGATGGGCGCAGGCCGCGGCGACACCGACGGCGAATCCTGTTCAAAATGAACAGGAACTGCTATTGGGCACTGTGCCCTTTCCTCCCGTGCCCATTTCGCTCGGGACGAGACCTCTGTCTCGCGGAGGCACGCGAGGTACTCGCCCCTGAGCTTGAGCCAGAGCGCGGCGGCATCGACGACGACCGCGCTCGCGTTGGCCCTGTGCTCGGCGAAGGTCTCGGGGCCCCCGCAGAAAAGGCGGGGGCCCTCGGAGCCGCCCCTCGCCACCAGGTGCACGAACATCGTGGTCGTAGTAGTAAGTGGTGGTAGTAGTAGTAGTAGTAGTAGTAGTAGTAGTAGTAGTAGTAGTAGTAGTAGTAGTAGTAGTAGTAGTAGTAGTAGTAGTAGTGGTAGTAGTAGTAGTAGTAGTCGTAGTAGTAGTAGTAGTAGTAGTAGAAGAAGAAGAAAAATAATAAGCAGTAGTATAAGCAGTAGTAGTAGTAGTAGTAGTAGTAGTAGTAGGACTAGTAGTAGTAGTAGTAGTAGTAGTAGTAGTAGTAGTAGTCGTGGTAGTAGCAGTAGTAGTTGTAGTAGTAGTAGTAGTAAATTACTCGTTCGCAGTAGTGGTAGTGGAACTACTACTACCACTACTACTACTACTACTACTACTACTACTACTACTACTACTACTACTACTACTACAACTACTACCAATATTACTACTACTACTACAAATACTACTGCTACACATAGTACCTGGTGGAAGTACCTGGTAGTAGTACCTGGGAGAAGTACCTAGCAGTAGCAGTAATAGTAGTAGTAGTAGTAGTAGTAGTAGTAGTAGTAGTAGTTGTCGTACTAGTAGTAGTAGTGGTACTTGGACGTACTACCTGGAAGTAGTACCTACTAGTACTACCCGGTTGTAGTACCTGGTAGTAGTAGTACCTGGTAGTAGTAGTACCTGGTGGTAGTAGTCGTAGTAGTACCTAGTAGTAGTAGTAGTAGTAGTAGTAGTAGTAATAGTAGTAGTAGTAGTAGTAGTAGTAGTAGTAACAGAGGTAGTAGTAGTAGAAGTCGTCGTAGTAGGAGTCGTAGTCGTGGTAGTAGTAGTAGTAGTAGTAGTAGTAGTAG